TGTCTGTCTTTCTGTGCAAGTGACCATCTAAATGCAGATCACCCTTTTTTCTTATAATCAGTAATCAAGCTCTATGGATGATTTTGAGGGCAGGCTCTGAGTATGTCAGTTCATGTTTGCGGATGACTCATGCTGGAAGACCGAAGGGGACGTGTCCAACTCTCAACCCCTGTCAAGTCCAGAATCTCCAATAAAATCAAGATATCAATGTCAATACTTGAATAAGGGATTAGGTATTGTGTTTTTAAGCCTTGGTAAGATAGGCAGCAGTTGTGTGGATACATAGAAGTGAATAATACTCCAGTGTATTGCATCTTGCTTGGTGTAGTACTTTAAGTCGTTCTCTGTGTTCTCGGTTAATCCTTCAAAAGGACATACATAGAGCAGATCAGGATGGAAGGCAAAGGTGTCCATCTGCTGCATTTGACTACCACCATCTTAATTGTCATGAAATACCCTGGCTGTTTCTCGCAGTCTGCTAGCGCTTCCAGCCAAGCTTTTATAGCAAATGTCAGTGACATGAAACAAATGATCCAGCAGTTGGTTTCAGTGAGAATTAATGCAGACCAGCTGCGGTATTGCTGCCTTTGGTTTTTATAAATGGGATCACATAGAAGCAATAGCGTGAAGTGCATGAAGGGAGAGAGCAGGTAACTTACTGCTGTGATTTAGTGAATGGACTATGAGTGGTGGTTAAGAGGGAAACATGCAGGTTTTATAATTTTGCAGGCCGTCTCTCTAGGGTTGGGCTAAGCATACCTGGATGATAACATGGTAGAGGTAGAACTGAAAAATGTGTGAGATGCTGCTGTTGGGTTGGGAGAAGTGAGAGTGCAGTTGACCGCCTCCCCGCAGCCGCACGACTTTGTTCGACTTCGGCATGGCGTTTCCCCGCTGTGCGCTTCGCAGCCGCCTTGAAACGCTTCGGGTTTTGTTTTGTTTTTTTTCCTTTTAATGGCAACCTGAAACGAAGGACGCGGCCCTTCCCCGTGCGCGGGAGCGAGCACAAACAACGAGCGAAAACACTTCTCCCTGTGGTCTCCCTCTTGGCTCACTTGCTCAGCTCCCGGGGATATTTTCAAGCATAAAGTTCCATGGCGAGCTGGTATTTACACTGAATGATAGGGGAGGGGAAAATGGAATAAAACGCTGTCGAGGTTTGTATTACCTCGACAGAAAGTCGCAACCTGCCCCCCCCAGCCCGCGGCGGAGGCCGGGGCTGGCTTCGGTCTTCCCAGCAGCTGTGACAGCGACCCGTAAAATGGCCGCTGCCATCCCCGGTGCTTTTAAGACGGACTGTTAAGGTGGAGGAGACGCTGCCCTCGGCTGCCCCCAGCCT